AAATGACTTTGGAGAAACTACGTCAACTTGTCTTCAATGTTACAGAACTAAGTTTCCAGATGACTATTAAGACCAACCGACTACGAGATATACCCATAACCTGGAGAAAACAACTTCCGGTAAGTGGAACCAACTCCTCCCAATTCCCATATACTGTGAGTACCTCACAACTGCTAGTATTTAGTAGATACAAATAGGATTAGATTTTATCTTATTATACCTATTTATTGCTGCACATTTCATTCCAGCGTTTTTCCTGGTTTCCTAGCCTAAGGGTCAAAAATGTCACAGTCCCAGGAGTCGTTCATGGGAGGGAGAGGCTTTCCACAGCCAAGTGCACGCATCTTCCTGTCTGAACAGGGTGGACACCAGGAAGTAAATGCTTACACCAAATCATATGCCCCCTTAATCAAGAAGGCCGACAGCAAGAAATGCAAGAGGGGTGAGTTTTTTATTAAAGTGATTTCTAAACAAAAATGCGCTGGATGGGTTGGAAGGGTGGAGATGTGGATGGTGGGGTTGAAGAGGACTGAGACGATGATGGGTGGGGGTGTGGGGGGGGGGGGTAGGACTGAGGATTTTAGGGATGGAACGGAGACCTGTGAATGCGCGGAGGACCATAGTACATGGAGTTTTGGGGGAGTGGACGGAGACGTGGACCCCGGAGGGGTGGTAGAAACGAGTAACGTGGACGGAGGAGTGTTAGACGGAGACCGTGGACGCGGGGGGGGTTAACGGAGACGTGGACGGGGGGGGGTTAGACGGAGACGTGGAACGGGGGGGGTAGACGAGACGTGGACGGGGGGGGTAAGACGGCAGACGTGGACGGGGGGGGGTAACGGAGGACGTGGACGGGGGGGGTAGGACGGAACGTGGACAGGGGGTGGGTAGACGAGACGTGGACTGGGGGTTAGACGAAGGACGTGGACGGGGGGTAGACGAGACGTGTGACGTGGGGGGGGTAGACGGTCAGACCTGGACGGGGGTGGGTAGACGGAGACGAGGACGGGGGGGGGTAGACGGAGACGTGACCCGTGGGGGGGGGAAGACTGAGACGTGAGAAGACCCGGGGGGGTCGACGGAGACGTGGACGGAGTGTGTAGACGGGATACGTGGACCGGGGGGGGTAGACGATGAAGATGACGGGGGGGGTAGGACGAGACGTGGACGGTGGGGAATGAACGGAGACGCTGGCAACGGGGGGGTAGAACGGTGACTTGGAACGGGAGGGTATACCGGAGACTGGACGGGGGGGTAGACGTAGACGTGACGGGGGTAGAAACAGGAGACGTGACGTGGGGGTAAAGGAGACGTGGACGGGGGGTAGACAGGAGTAGTACGTGGACGGGGTGAGGGGGTAGACGGCAGACGTGGACGGTGGGGGTAGACGGAGACGTGGCACGGGGGTGGGGGGTATGACCGGAAGACCTGGACCCGGGGGGGGGTAGACGGAGTACGTGGGGACGGACCGGGGGGTAGACGGATGACGTGGAACTGGGGGGGGTAAGACGGAGACGTGGACGGGACGGTGGGGGGTAGAGAACGGAGACCTGGACAACGGGGGGGGGTAGACGAGACGTGGAACGGGTGGGTATACGAGACGTGGACGGACGGGGGGTAGACAGAGACGTCGGACTATACGCGAGACGTAGGACGGGGGGGGGTAGACGGAGAACGTGGACGAGGGGGGGGTAGACGAGACGTGAGTCAGGGGGGGTTAGACCGTAGAACTTGGACGGTGGGGGTAGACAGTAGAACTGTGGACGTGGGGGGTAGACGGAGACGTGGACGGGGGGGGTAGACTGAGACGTTGAAGGGGGGGTGGTAGACGATGACGTGGACGGGGGGGGTGACGGAGACTTGGACGTGGGGGGTAGACGAGACGTGGACGGTAGGGGGGTAACGAGACGTGAGACGTAGAGCCGGAGACGTGGACGGGGGGGAGTACGTGAGACGTGAGACTATGGGGGTAGACGGAGACGTGGACGGGGGGGTAGACGAGACGTGGACGTGGGGGGGTAGACGGAGACGTGGAACGGGGGGGTAGACGAGGACGTGTGACGGGGGGGGTAGACGGAGACCGTGGAGGGAGTGGGTAGACTGAGACGATGACCGGTGGGGGTAGAGACGGAGAATGTGGACGGTAGGACTGAGACAGCAGACGTGGACGGGGGGGTAGACGGAGACGTGGACGGGGGGTGGTAGACCGGAGACGTGGACGGGTGGGTGAGACGGAGACGTGGCCGCGGGGGGGTAGACGGAGACGTTGACGGGGTGGGGGTAGACGAGACGTGGAACGGGGGGGGTAGACCGGAGACGTGGACGGGGGGTTAGGCGGAGACGTGGACGGGGGGGGTTACGGCGGAGACGTGGACGTGGGGGTAGCGGAGCCCGTGGACAGGAGGGACGGGCGGAGCCGTGGAACGGAGGGAAGGGCGGAGTCCCCGTGGACGGAGGGGGAGGGCGAGCCGTGGACGTGAGGGAAGGGTTCGGAGACCGTGGACAGAGGAACGGGCGGAGCCCGTGCGACGGAGGGAAGGGCGGAGCCTGTGGACGAGGGAGAAGGGCGGAGACCGTGGAAAGGACGGAGGGAAAACTTTTGAATATTATGAATACTATTTGTTTATGCTTTCTCGATAGTTTGGTTCGGCTTTAATGTTGCTGGTCCGGTTTTTTGTCGCTCGTTTTATAGCGCCTCGTACACACTGCGGGGTAATTTTAAAACACAACACGGTTAGCAAATGTTTGCTGTACAAAGTAACCCACAAAATTTGAGATTTTGGCCACAGTTTTTGACTGCTTGTTCGCCTTTTACCTAAACACCGCGTTTACCAGCGTTAGAGCTTTTTGTAATCAGCTGAAAATCTCCTCCTTGAAACCCACTAGGATTTTTTTTTTTTTGCCAGCCACAAAACACCCCCCCGCGCCATTAAATGCTGATTAAAGCCTGGTGTGTGAAATGGACACATATGATACATGCTGGGGAGATAACTGACTGCGCAGAAAAAAACTACCGGCAGAATGCCAAAGCACAGCCGCTGTAAATCCCCCGGGGGGCATCGAGGCCTAACAACCGTTTCTGGGAAGGTTTCACGGATTTTAGCACATAGGGTATCCGATGAGACAACGCAGGTCACCTCTGCTGGTGCGCTCCCGTGTACTCGCAAAACGCGCATCCTCCAGATGGGGGCGGTAAGAGGCCCACGCTCAGCCCTAGAGAAGGAAACGGTGGATGCAGTCAGAACGGGATTAGCGGTGTAGATTCATGTGACAGAGCTGGAGCTCACCGGCAGCTTACGGTCCAGAGAAAAGGACAGAATAAATGGCGGTGAATTGGTGGCAGACTAAAGACATCTGCAGGATTGATGTGTCACTGGGGGGCAATGAGGCGTGAATGACTAACGTTCCCCACATGTTCACGATTCACCGCGCAGTGGAGTGGGGGCAGAGGGGGGGGGCATAGAGGGGGGATCGGGGGGGGAAACTCCGCGTCCTGCGCGCACACCAGAGCAGACACGCGTCTGCGCGCAACACCACCCGAGCGGACGCCACACGCCCTGACCAACAGTTGGCACCGCGCTCAGTCCACCCCAACCGCCCGCACCGCGCTCAGTCCACCCCAACCGCCCGCACCGCGCTCAGGCCACCCCAACCGCCCGCACCGCGCTCAGGCCACCCCAACCGCCCGCACGCCACCCCCCAACTGCCCGCACCGCGCTCAGGCCACCCCAACCGCCCGCACGCCACCCCAACCGCCCGCACCGCGCTCAGGCCACCCCAACCGCCCGCACCGCGCTCAGGCCACCCCAACCGCCCGCACCGCGCTCAGGCCACCCCAACCGCCCGCACCGCGCTCAGGCCACCCCAACCCGCCCGCCACGCCACCCCAACTGCCCGCACCGCGCTCAGGCCACCCCAACCGCCCGCACGCCACCCCAACCGCCCGCACCCGCGCTCAGGCCACCCCAACCGTCCGCACCGCGCTCAGTCCACCCCAACCGTCCGCACCGCGCTCAGTCCACCCCAACCGTCCGCACCGCGCTCAGTCCACCCCAACCCCAACCGCCCGCAACGCGCTCAGGCCACCCCAACCGCCCGCAACGCGCTCAGGCCACCCCAACCGCCCGCAACGCGCTCAGGCCACCCCAACCGCCCGCAACGCGCTCAGGCCATCCCAACCGCCCGCAACGCGCTCAGGCCACCCCAACCACCCGCACCGCGCTCAGTCCCACCCCAACCACCCGCACCGCGCTCAGTCCACCCCAACCACCCGCACCGCGCTCAGTCCACCCCAACCACCCGCACCGCGCTCAGTCCACCCCCAACCACCCGCACCGCGCTCAGTCCACCCCAACCACCCGCACCGCGCTCAGTCCACGCCCAACCACCCGCACCGCGCTCAGGCCACCCCAACCACCCGCACCGCGCTCAGGCCACCCCAACCACCCCTCACCGCGATCAGTCCACGCCAACCACCCGCACCACGCTCAGTCCACCCCAACCGCCCGCACCGCGCTCAGTGTACCCCAACCGCCCGCACCACGCTCAGTCCACCCCCAACCATCCGCACCGCGCTCAGTCCACCCCAACCATCCGCACCGCACGCAGTCCGCCCCAACCATCAGTACTAGCGCTTTAAGGAATTTTCTATTAGGCCGGGGATGGAATACAGACGACACAATTTTATTTGAACAACCAGAAAGCTCCAACCTCTTAATTAGGTTAATTAACAGGAATGTCGCATCAATTATCTGCTGCATGAAAATACCGGCATGTATATCCTTCCGTATATAGAACGGACAGCGAGATTTATAAACGGAACACAAGTCAACCTCCAAATAAAATGGAGGAGAGAGAATGGAGGAAGGACCATGGCGGGGACACAAGGTGCCAAGGAACCCTCATGATGGCCTGAAGAAGGCTCATAATTGCCAATGCTGGATCTTCCTAGCCAGTCCTTGGAGGACCAGAAGTCAAACCTCAATATGAGCAAAGTGGCGTAAGGGACATTCTTCCCCCCCACTGACCCCCAATGTAAGGGACATTCTTCCCCCCACTGACCCCCAATGTAAGGGACATTCTTCCCCCCACTGACCACCAATGTAAGGGACATTCTTCCCCCCACTGACCCCCAATGTAAGGGACATTCTTCCCCCCACTGACCCCCAATGTAAGGGACATTCTTCCCCCCACTGACCCCCAATGTAAGGGACATTCTTCCCCCCACTGACCCCCAATGTGAGGGACATTCTTCCCACTGACCCCCAATGTGAGGGACATTCTTCCCACTGACCCCCAATGTAAGGGACATTCATCCCCCAACTGACCCCCAATGTAAGGGACATTCATCCCCCAACTGACCCCCAATGTAAGGGACATTCTTCCCCCAACTGACCCCCAATGTAAGGGACATTCTTCCCCCAACTGACCACCCAATGTAAGGGACATTCTGCCCCCCCAGTGACCCCCCCCCCATGTAAGGGACATTCTGCCCCCACTGACCCCCCCACCAATGTAAGGGACATTCCCCCCCCCCTGACCCCCAATGTAAGGGACATTCTTCCCCCAACTGACCCCCAATGTAAGGGACATTCTTCCCCCAACTGACCCCCCAATGTAAGGGACATTCTTCCCCCCAGTGACCCCCCAATGTAAGGGACATTCTGCCCCCCACTGACCCCCCAATGTAAGGGACATTCCCCCCCCCCCCACTGACCCCCAATGTAAGGGACATTCCCCCCCCCCCCCACTGACCCCCAATGTAAGGGACATTCTTCCCACTGACCCCCCAATGTAAGGGACATTCTTCCCACTGACCCCCCCCAATGTAAGGGACATTCTTCCCACTGACCACCAATGTAAGGGACATTCCTCCCACTGACCCCCAATGTAAGGGACATTCTTCCCACTGACCCCCAATGTAAGGGGCATTCTTCCCACTGACCCCCCAATGTAAGGGACATTCTTCCCACTGACCCCCCAATGTAAGGGACATTCTTCCCACTGACCCCCCAATGTAAGGGACATTCTTCCCACTGACCCCCCAATGTAAGGGACATTCTTCCCACTGACCCCCCAATGTAAGGGACATTCTTCCCACTGACCCCCGAATGTAAGGGACATTCTTCCCACTGACCCCCCAATGTAAGGGACATTCTTCCCACTGACCACCAATGTAAGGGACATTCTTCCCACTGACCCCCCAATGTAAGGGACATTCTTCCCCACTGACCCCCCAATGTAAGGGACATTCTTCCCACTGACCCCCCAATGTAAGGGACATTCTTCCCACTGACCCCCCAATGTAAGGGACATTCTTCCCACTGACCACCAATGTAAGGGACATTCTTCCCACTGACCCCCCAATGTAAGGGACATTCTTCCCACTGACCCCCCAATGTAAGGGACATTCTTCCCACTGACCCCCCAATGTAAGGGACATTCTTCCCACTGACCCCCAATGTAAGGGACATTCTTCCCACTGACCCCCAATGTAAGGGCTTTTCCCCCCACTGACCCCCAATGTAGTGGGGCCCTTCACCACCATTTAGGGACCATTTCAGTAACTGCTGTTCTATGAGGACACTACAGATTTCATGGTCTGTTTTTCGGTCCTTGGGTGCCCAGTACTCAGGTCTCAGGAGCCCCAACAGGGAAATGGAAGTATAGGAATAAAGGGGACGGAGTATTTGAGGGGCCCCTCCATGTCCCAGAGGTTGGGATCGGCCTCTCTGTAGCGGTTTCTTCTCATCTCTCGGACTTTACAGAATGACGATGTTTTGTTGATTTGGAACATTAACAGGAAATGGAAGCTCTGGCGGGGGATGGGCTGCTCACTGGAGCTGACAATCCGACTCCGTGGTCCCCGTCCCCCCCACCCCCCCTCATCCGACTCAGTGGTCCCCGTCCCCCCCACCCCCCTCATCCGGGAGCCGCATTCTCTCATCTCAATCCATTCTAATTGTATTTACAAATCACAGCAATTCTGATGATTTTATGTTCCTCCAACCGACTCATCAGAAGTCCTCCGGAGAGTCGATGATTCCACTTCTACCTACAACTCCACGCAGAGTACATTGTAGCCGAACGTCTGGGGGGTCCGGGGCCCCCCCACTTCGAGATTTCGGGGATCAGAATCTGCATGTCTGATGTCCATCCCACATTCTGTTATATTCAAAGAAAAAATTAAAATTTTAAAGATATAGCGGTCCGGAATGGTCCAATCACCTTCACCGTGGACACCATTGTGCAGGGAGTCTCACTCCTCCCGCTGCATTCTCCATCCAGTCACCTTCACCGTGGACACCATTGTGCAGGGAGTCTCACTCCTCCCGCTGCATTCTCCATCCAGTCACCTTCACCGTGGACGGACACCATTGTGCAGGGAGTCTCACTCCTCCCGCTGCAATCTCCATCCAGTCACCTTCACCGTGGACACCATTGTGCAGGGAGTCTCACTCCTCCCGCTGCAATCTCCATCCAGTCACCTTCACCGTGGACACCATTGTGCAGGGAGTCTCACTCCTCCCGCTGCATTCTCCATCCAGTCACCTTCACCGTGGACACCATTGTGCAGGGAGTCTCACTCCTCCCGCTGCATTCTCCATCCAGTCACCTTCACCGTGGACACCATTGTGCAGGGAGTCTCACTCCTCCCGCTGCATTCTCCATCCAGTCACCTTCACCTCGGACACCAACGCCAAGATCCTTCCCACAGCTGTCCCTGATCCAGGCCTGGCCGCCATTGTGAAGGGAGTCTCACCCCTCCCGCTGCGTTCTCCATCCAGTCACCTTCACCTCGGACACCATTGTGAAGGCAGTCTCACTCCTCCCGCTGCATTCCCCATCCAGTCACCTTCACCTCGGACACCAACGCCAAGATCCTTCCTATAGCTGTCCCTGATCCAGGCCTGGCTGCCATTGGATGGAGAATGCAGCAGGAGGAGCGAGACTCCCTTCACAGTCACCTTCACCTTGCTGTCCCTGATCCAGGCCTGGCTGCCATTGAAAGGCAGTCTCACTCCTCCCACTGCATTCTCCTTTTTTTTTTTTCATGCAAGCTTATTGAACCCGATGCAGAATATAAGCCGAGCCGAGGACAGAGGCAAAGATCTGGCTGCTGGAAGCTGGAGCAGAAAGGCGGGCTTCTCCCGGGCTGTAGACGGAGCGGTGCATGCGCAGTTCAGCTTGCAGTGCCGGGCCCTGAGTGCCGTACAGGAGTGATGTCAGCACAGCTAAATGGACAGCATTTCCATCAGGCAGTACTCGGGTTGTTGGTTCGAATCCCAACCACGGCACCACCTGCCTGGAGTTTGCATGTTCTCCCTGTGCCTGCGTGGGTTTCCTCTGGGTACTCCTGTTCCCTCCCACATTCTAAAGACATGCTGGGAGGTTCATTGGTTCCGAACTACATTGGCCCCAGTATGTGTATGTATGAATGTGAGTTAGAGACCTTAGATGGTATGCTCCTCGGGGGGCGTGGACTAATGGGAATGTAAGTTAGGGACCTCCAATTGTACGCTCCTCAGGGGCGGGGACTAATGGGAATGTAAGTTAGGGACCTCAGATTGTACGCTCCTCGGGGGTGGGGACTGATGTGAATGTACAATAAATATGTAAATTGACGGCGCTATACAAGTACCTGAAATAAATAGGCAGCACAGTGGCTGAGCGGTTAGCACTTCCGCCTGGCAGTACTCGGGTCGTTGGTTCGAATCCCAACCACAGCACCACCTGCCTGGGGTTTGCATGTTCTGTGCCTGCGTGGGTTTCCTCCAGGTACTCCCGTTTCCTCCCCACACTCCAATGACATGCTGGGAGGTTAATTGGTTCCTGTCTAAATTGGCCCTAGTATGGGTATACATGAATGTGAGTTAGGGACCTCAGATTGTACGCTCCTCGGGGGCGGAGACTGATGGGAATGTACGTTAGGGACCTCAGATTGTACGCTTCTCGGGGGTGGGGACTGATGTGAATGTAAGTTAGGGACCTCAGATTGTACGCTCCTCAGGGGTGGGGACTGATGTGAATGTGAGTTAGGGACCTCAGATTGTACGCTCCTCGGGGGTGGGGACTGATGGGAATGTACAATATATATGTAAATTGACGGCGCTATACAATGTATCTGAAATAATAATGTCACTCCCCATCGGCCAATGAAGAGGCCTGAAGACCGGCACCTGAAGAAGATGCCAGCGAGGGAATGTCTGACAGGCGAAATAAAATAAAGGGGCGGGGGAGGGAATCCTCGGCACTCCAACTGTTGTAGAACTACAAGTCTCATGAGGCACTGCAAGACCAGCAGCCGAGGAGGCATGATGGGATTTGTAGTTTCACTGCAACCCGCCCCTACAGGTAGGCATGTTGGATGGAGCTGTTACTTAAATCCAAGCCGCCCCCCCCTACCTGCCAAAGCAAAGGTGACCTACAAGTCTCAGCCAACTGGGGGTACAGGGCCCCCTAAGCGTCTCCTGGAGGGGGGGGGGGTCCAGGCTGGACGGATCAGATACCAGAACATTCTGCAGGTCTAGTTTTACTGCCAACCAAAAGATCCAGCGAGGGGCATGCTGAGACTTTTGGTTTCTCCGTCTTCTTTGATGGGAACAATGAGAAAGAAGAATGTCTGCCGGAAGAGCGTGACCCCCCCCCCTCCCCCGGGCAGACATGAAGGGGTTAAGCCACTGTCATGCAGGGTTCCTCCTGCATGGGAATCTGGAGAGAGGCTGCGTCTGGGAACAGAGAAGGCAGCTCCGGGGAACAGGCAGCTAACTTACCAAATAAGGGCAGCGCAGTGCGCTCCGGGATGGAGGAGGGGGAGCGCAGCGCACAGGAGAGGATGGAGGAGGGGGAGCGCAGCGCTCCGGATGGAGGTAGGGGAGGCCGCACAGGACAGAAGAGGAGGGACCAACAGCTCCGGGATGGAGGAGGAGGGGGAGCGCAGCGCACAGGAGAGGATGGAGGAGGGGGAGCGCAGCGCTCCGGGATGGAGGAGGGGGAGCGCAGCGCTCCGGGATGGAGGAGGGGAGCGCAGCGCACAGGAGAGGATGGAGGGAGGGGGAGCGCAGCGCTCCGGGATGGAGGAGGGGGAGCGCAGCGCTCCGGGATGGAGGAGGGGGAGCGCAGCGCACAGGAGAGGATGGAGGAGGGGGAGCGCAGCGCTCCGGGATGGAGGAGGGGGAGCGCAGCGCTCCGGGATGGAGGAGGGGGAGCGCAGCGCACAGGAGAGGATGGAGGAGGGGGAGCGCAGCGCTCCGGGATGGAGGAGGGGGAGCGCAGCGCTCCGGGATGGAGGAGGGGGAGCGCAGCGCACAGGAGAGGATGGAGGAGGGGGAGCGCAGCGCTCCGGGATGGAGGAGGGGGAGCGCAGCGCTCCGGGATGGAGGAGGGGGAGCGCAGCGCACAGGAGAGGATGGAGGAGGGGGAGCGCAGCGCACAGGAGAGGATGGAGGAGGGGGAGCGCAGCGCACAGGAGAGGATGGAGGAGGGGGAGCGCAGCGCTCCGGGATGGAGGAGGGGGAGCGCAGCGCTCCGGGATGGAGGAGGGGGAGCGCAGCGCTCCGGGATGGAGGAGGGGGAGCGCAGCGCACAGGAGAGGATGGAGGAGGGGGAGCGCAGCGCACAGGAGAGGATGGAGGAGGGGGAGCGCAGAGCTCCGCGATGGAGGAGGGGGAGCGCAGTGCGCTGGAGAGGATGCAGGAGGAGATGAAGGAAGATGCACACCGGATTATACAGGCTGGGGGGGATGTGATGGACGGGGGGAGCACAGGAGGGACCACATACTGCGGCGGTGGCGTGCAAATACTTCCCCCCCCCCCGACTGCCTCCACTGTGGTATTTCATTCATTCAGAAGACTCGATCTCCACAAATGTGATATAAAAAGTGGAATTCGACCCCAACGGAGCGTAAGGTGCCTTTCACAACACATTCCCTGCAGGTGAATCTTCCGTGCGTTTCAAGTGACCACACGTGATTCACCAGCAGTGAAAGTCACATTCACCGCTTTATATTAATCCGATTCGTTTGCTGAAGCGTCGCAATGAAAGTTACTTTGTAAAACATTTTCTCTGTTTCTCGAATCTTTGCGCGGCTCACCTCCCGCAGCACTTCCTGTCCGCACAGACCCCAGCGAGGGCAAGTCTCAGGTGGGGGGGTGGGGGGGTTCCTGATGGCGACAACGGCGGCAGACGTCCAATTGGGAGACTGTTGTCACTCCAAAAAACTGAAAGTGGCAGAACAAGGATCTTCATGGCAGAACAAGGATCTTCATGGCAGGATCACCGGGGAGGAATTGTAATTAAAGATTAAAGATCGGCGACGACTTACCGCACATTACATGAGATGTTCCTCATCGGGTTTAAATCTGATAATTCACCGTCTTCCACCCCGCCATTCCCGCGCCGGGCCCCATTACCAACGAGTGACCTCTCCACCTAATGATGCCGGTGCCCCGGCTCCTCCCCCCCCCCCCCCAGCCTTGCACGGGTGCCCCGGCCCTCCCCCCCCCCCCCCCCCCAGCCTTGCACGGGTGCCCCGGCTCCTCCCCCCCCCCCCCAGCCTTGCACGGGTGCCCCGGCTCCTCCCCCCCCCCCCAGCCTTGCACGGGTGCCCCGGCTCCCCCCCCCCCCCCAGCCTTGCACGGGTGCCCCGGCTCCTCACCCCCCCCCCCAGCCTTGCACGGGTGCCCCGGCTCCTCACCCCCCCCCAGCCTTGCACGGGTGCCCCGGCTCCTCACCCCCCCCCAGCCTTGCACGGGTGCCCCGGCTCCTCCCCCCCCCCAGCCTTGCACGGGTGCCCCGGCTCCTCCCCCCCAGCCTTGCACGGGTGCCCCGGCTCCTCCCCCCCCAGCCTTGCCCCGGCTCCTCCCCCCCCAGCCTTGCACGGGTGCCCCGGCTCCTCCCCCCCCAGCCTTGCACGGTGTCCCGGCTCCTCCCCTCCAGCCTTGCACAGGTGTCCCGGCTCCTCCCCTCCAGCCTTGCACAGGTGTCCCGGCTCCTCCCCTCCAGCCTTGCACAGGTGTCCCGGCTCCTCCCCTCCAGCCTTGCACAGGTGTACCGGCTCCTCCCCTTCAGTCTTGCACAGGTGTACCGGCTCCTCCCCTGGTTACTCTGATGTCACTGCACAGTGGGAGTTTCTCACAATGTGCATTAGAAGCTGCAGCCAGTCAGGTAGAGCTCCGCCCCATTTCCTGGCAGGAGGACGTCCAGCATCATCTAGCACTTTCCTCCCCAGTCTGACCGGCCCCTCCCCTTTTCTTAATTGGTTTTCAATTAGAGGCTTAGCATCACATGTGGGCGTTACTTATGCAAATACAGCATGCCTAGGAACACCCACTCCTTCAGACTAACACCCACTCACCAAGGCAGTCTGTTATTTGCATAACTCCTCCCACTGCGTGCATCAGGACTGAGGGCTCCTGAGAGGAGTACTGAGGCAGGGGGCTGGGATGTTTTCAGGAAGCCATGAACAGCTGGCCCCTCCCACCAGCCATGATATGCCTGCATTGCATAGAGAAGCACAAAGACCCAAGCTGGGACCAGCACCGAGGCTTTCACTGCACAATGTCCGTACCAAGGGAGACCGCATCCCCTGCAAGGTGAGACTGGGGGGTCCGTCACTGCTCCCCCCCCTCCCCCACAATGAGGGTGTACACGGCTCTGTGCATTGCCTATACAGGAGCCCCCCGGGAATCGTTCTGCTGATCTGCGGGGGAGGAATTCACAGAACCATCTATCAGAAGGAAGACGTTTCCTGGCCACCAATCCTCGGAGTGTCATCTGATTGGTGGAAGAGCGAGCAGAGGGTTCAGGAGAGGGTCCTACCTCCCGACATCAGAGGAGGAGGAGCTCAGAGACCGACTACTACAGAGGGATCGATTCACCTGCCGGACCCATCGTCCCATACATGTATTCGTGGTAAGTGCAGCATGCTGAGTAACGTGTCCGTGTGACCCGGCCAGGACTCTTCATCTGATCTCCTCTCCAGAAGGACGGCACCATGCATGTTCAGGCAGCATCCCAGGTCACCATCTGCGTCCTGGGCTCAGAGATGACACAATCATGTATATCCTGATGTCTGTGTTCACAAATGTCTGACACAGATCAGCCCCTGCTAGAGCCACACACACCTTGCTACAAAGTTACAATGTACAGTCTGATCACTGGGGGAGGGGGGGACTGAGGAAATGCCTCCTCCTCCTTCTACAAAGTTACAATGTACAGTCACTGATCACTGGGGGGGGAGGGGAGACTGAGGAAATGCCTCCTCCTCCTTCTACAAAGTTACAATGTACAGTCTGATCACTGGGGGAGGGGAGACTGAGGAAATGCCTCCTCCTCCTTCTTCTACAAAGTTACAATGTACAGTCCGATCACTGGGGGAGGGGAGACTGAGGAAATGCCTCCTCCTCCTTCTACAAAGGAACAATGTACAGTCTGATCAGTGGGGGAGGGGAGACTGAGGAAATGCCTCCTCCTCCTTCTACAAAGGAACAATGTACAGTCTGATCACTGGGGGAGGGGAGACTGAGGAAATGCCTCCTCCTCCTTCTACAAAGGAACAATGTACAGTCTGATCAGTGGGGGAGGGGAGACTGAGGAAATGCCTCCTCCTGCCTGCAGCAGACTGATGACATCCCAGCCTAGACACAGTCCCTGGACTGCAGCTGAAGGATGACGTAATGATCTTTATCCGGCTCCTGTATGCTGAGACCTGTCAGGAATGTGATTGGTCCAATTTAAATGCCATAAAATGGGTCCCCAACCCGGTACAAGTGGCCCCGTTCTCTGGCCCCGAGCGTCACTTTAATGTTGGTGACAGAATTCCATAAACCTTGTCCAAGCCTGGAGGATGGGGCCCTCCAATAGGACGGCTCCATGTGGAGTGCGCAGATTTGGGGCCACAGACACGGCGGTACCCAGGAAAGGTGGATGAGGACTATGGAGGGGAATCGAGGTTGAGAAAATCGCTCACAAAAAAAAACCCCAAATGGTCCCTGCGAGCGGAGGAGGGGTGTAATCTGTGAGTGCCGTTAACCCGTCACATGGCATCAGCCGGGGCCCGGAGCCCAGGACAGCGGATTACGGAGCAGCCAGGGAGGGAAGGGGGAGGAGGGGGGGGAAGATCCCTTTTATCTGACAAAAATCATCTGATTGGATATGACGGAGCAACTCAACGGAAAATCGCCCGGAATTAACCCTTCTGGGGGGGCAGCCAAGGCCGTCCAGGAGACCCACAAATGTGTCAATTCATTGAAGTCAATTGGTTTCTACTGATAGAAGCAAAATCGCTCATTCTGTCAAATCCCATCCCCCACCCGGCCATCGATGGTTCCTACAGTACAGACGGGGCCCCGCCGAGGGCCGTCATCTCAGTCCAGGAAGGGGACCCGGATGATGCCTGAACAAAGATGGTGCTGTCCTTCTGGAGAGGACAAGCAGATGAAGGCACTGACAGGGAGTCCTGGGATCGGTGTGGTGGGGAGTCCTGGGATCGGCGTGGGGGGAGTCCTGGGATCGGCGTGGTGGGGAGTCCTGGGATCGGCGTGGTGGGAGTCCTGGGATCGGCGTGGTGGGGAGTCCTGGGATCGGCGTGGTGGGGAGTCCCGGGATCGGCGTGGTGGGGAGTCCCGGGATCGGCGTGGTGGGGAGTCCCGGGATCGGCGTGGTGGGGAGTCCCGGGATCGGCGTGGTGGGGAGTCCGGGATCGGCGTGGTGGGGAGTCCCGGGATCGGCGTGGTGGGGAGTCCCGGGATCGGCGTGGTGGGGAGTCCCGGGATCGGCGTGGTGGGGAGTCCCGGGATCGGTGTGGGATCGGCGTGGGGGGAGTCCTGGGATCGGGGGGGGGGGGGGGGGGGGGGTTACACGGACATCAAAGTCTATCTGCTGACAGATCCACAGACAACGTTCATCTGGGGGGGGTCTTCTCTGAAGGTCTGGGGGGGGACAAAACCTCTCAGGAGGGACTTCAGGAACTTCTATCCAGTCTGGAGGAAAGCAGGGAAAGGATGGACAGGACTGAACCCTACAACTACACGAAGGGTGGAGGAAGGTGCAGGAGGAACACGGCCTCGGCCTGGCAGGAGGAAAGGTCACAGCAGACGTTCCGGCAACAGGAACTACATCTCCTCACTGGGACACATGGAGGCCTATAGACCAAAGGAGGCTCCAGCCCGATTCTCACTTCTCCCACCACCCAGGAGAACTAGAACCTCCGACCCGAAACAGGAAATGAGAGGAAACCCCCGCAAATGAAGGGAACGCCTTGGGGACCCCCCCCCCCAGGTCACCGGAGTGAGAGTTCCCCCATTGGAAGATTTAGCCGACTTTTCTGGGGTCAACCCAAAATTTGGGATTTTCTTTTACTTTAAGTGATAATGGTCACCAGGACAAGTAGAGGGGGAATCTCCCTGACGGGGGGCACAGAGGGGGCAATCAGACAGAGGGGGGAATCTCCCTGACGGGGGGCACAGAGGGGGGAGGGGAATCTCCCTGATGGGGGCACAGAGGGGGGGGGGAATCTCCCTGACGGGGGGGAATCACAGAGGGGGGGAGAGGGGGAATCTCCCTGACGGAATCTCCCTGACGGGGGGCACAGAGGGGGGAATCTCCCTGACGGGGGCACAGAGGGGGGATGGGGGGCAATCTCCCTGACGGGGGGCACAAGAGGGGGAATCTCCCTGACGGGGGGCACAGAGGGGGGGAATCTCCCTGACGGGGGCACAGAGGGGGGGAATCTCCCTGACGGGGGGGGGGGGGACAGAGGAGGGGGAATCTCCCTGACGGGGGGGCACAGAGAGCAACAAAACCTGATAGGGGGGCTAACCCCTCCCCCCACCATCCAACAGAAAAAACAAACAAGAAAAACCCCTCTTCTCTACAAGAGAGGGTCTCCAAACTGTGACCCATAGATAGATAATGGGGCGCTATTCCTCCCAGACACCAATGATGGGGGCACTATTCCTCCCACTGACACCAATGATGGGGCACTATTCCTCCCACTGACACCAATGATGGGGGGAATTCCTCCCACTGACACCAATGATGGGGCACTATCCTCCCACTGACACCAATGATGGGACACTATTCCTCCCACTGACACCAATGATGGGGGACTATTCCCCCCACTGACACCAACGATGGGGCACACTATTCCCTCCCACTGACACCAACGATGGGGCACTATTCCCCCACTGACACCAACGGGGGCACTATCCTCCCACTGACACCAACGATGGGGGACTATTCCTCCCTGACACCAACGATGGGGGCACTATTCCTCCCACTGACACCAATGATGGGCACTATTCCTCCCACTGACACCAACGATGGGGCACTCTATTCCTCCCACTGACACCAAATGGAGCACTATTCCTCCCACTGACACCAACGATGGGGCACTATTCCTCCCACTGACACCAAGATGGGACACTATTTCCTCCCACTGACACCAACGATGGGGCACTATTCCCCCCACTGGCACCAACGATGGGGCACTATTCCTCCCACTGACACCAACGATGGGGCACTATTCCTCCCACTGACACCAATGATGGGGCACTATTCCCCCCACTGACACCAATGATGGGGCACTATTCCTCCCACTGACACCAATGATGGGGCACTATTCCCCCACTGACACCAACGATGGACACTATTCCTCCCACTGACACCAACGATGGGGCACTATTCCCCCCACTGACACCAACGATGGGACACTATTCCTCCCACTGACACCAACGATGGGACACTATTCCCCCCACTGACACCAACGATGGGGCGCACTATTCCCCCCACTGACACCAACGATGGGGCACTATTCCTCCCACTGACACCAACGATGGGGCACTATTCCCCCCACTGACACCAATGATGGGGCACTATTCCTCCCACTGACACCAATGATGGGGCACTATTCCTCCCACTGATACCAATGATGGGCACTATTCCTCCCACTGACACCAATGATGGGACACTATTCCTCCCACTGACACCAATGATGGGGCACTATTCCCCCACTGACACCAATGATGGGACACTATTCCTCCCACTGACACCAATGATGGGGCACTATTCCTCCCACTGACACCAATGATGGGCACTATTCCTCCCACTGACACCAACGATGGGGCACTATTCCCCCCACTGACACCAACGATGGGGCACTATTCCCCCACTGACACCAACGATGGGGCACTATTCCCCCCACTGACACCAATGATGGAGCACTATTCCCCCACTGACACCAACGAT